CCTCGCGCTAAACTCCTCGCGATTAGACCTTCCCGTGCACGTTCCTATCTTACGTCCGTGATGGCGGCTGTACCTGATATGTCGCACCTCACCCCCGAGGAGAGGAGCACCATCGAGGAGGTTATGATCAGGCAGAAACAGGAGGAGGAGAAGGAAAATGAGATTATGAGGTACGTTCCTCTACCTCTATCCTACATCGTCTTTTTCCTTCTATTAGGTGCACCATGACTCTTTTTTAATAACTTCAACATTTTATCCAACTTCAAAATATACTACCACTCTGCGACTACTTGTAGCCTAACCTAAAAACCTCAACGAGGTTTACCAATCTTTCTCGAAACCAATGCTCCATAAACAGAATATTGACTGTCTTAATTGCTTTTAATGTCTTTTAAAAGAGAAGGGGTGGTTTGTAAAAGATTTAAAAAAACTGCCTATTTAATACTGAAAGTTGTACTTTGTCTTTGGCTCTCTTTATCATTTATATAGACTACTTGACTTATTTTTTAAATAGATGATTTAACAGAACGAATCAATATTCCCAGTATGTAAGAGATGGTCAATTTGATTCTCCAAAAGTTGATATTAACTTCTGAAGCACCCTGCATATGCTACAGTTTCGTTTTCATACTTGTTGAACAGATTAGCGTTTCAAAGAAGATTTACGTGATGTTCCCTGATGGAAATCAGGGACTCTTACGTGTCTCCTTAAATAAATAAGCAAGCGGAGCGACAAAGCAGGAGGCACCGTGTGTCGGCAAGTAGCGTGAGGTCTGAATGGTCAGACGGGATAGGCGGATAGCTAGAAAATATGGCTATGGACGGTCACGCGTCGTTGATCAGAATTACTGAACGAACGAAACGATATCCGATCGATCGAGTACATGTATTTCTTGACCAGCAAATTGTCCTCTCTGACGCGTTCCACCTATTTTCTCGACTCACCTGCTCGTTAGTCCTTGACCGTTTTATATCTATGACATCTTCTATTTAGGTATTCAGCGTCGCGTACACGCTTGCGGATGATAATCCTCTGCCGGTTTCTCGACTCTCTTTAGGAAATTTGCGTTTCTTCTTCGATTTTGGAAATAGTCGAAATCTCAAGTTTCACAAATTATTTAACTTTTAATGTAATTTTTTTAACGAAAATTCTTAAAGATTTTTAATGATGACAATGCAATGAAATTTCGTTTTGTTTGTCGACGAATTGCAAAATTGTTAATAATCGATTTCATCTTCGAATTGGAAAGTAATTATTTTTTTGAAAGACCATCGAGTACAGGTGCACTTAACTGTTCTCTTCTTTTCCATCCTTTTATAGACCGGCATCCTCTCTGCATTCCGGTCGGTTAATAATAATCGATCAGTCGATTTTTCAATCGACGATGCTAAAAGTGTCTTTTGAAGTTTCGAAACTCGACAGAGAAATTATTTATCGTGCAATGTTTACCCTTGTGTCTACGGAGTTGCGTTCATAAATAAATGTTCATCCTAACAAAGTCTTTACAGATCAATGCACATTTATTTTAATTCCTTCACAATTATCTCCTCGTTATACCTATATTTACTCTTCGCTTATCTTTTAAACAATTATTGTTATTCCGATGAAATTCTTCAAATAATTGGTCCAATTTTTCAACTCGCACAAGTAAAGTTTGTTGGAAGCGAAATATCCGAAACAGGTTCGTTCGAAATCCGTTGAAGAGGCCATCATGCAAGTTTGCCGTTCCAATCAGAGCGTCGGCGATTCTCCGAAAGTTCGCAAACTTCTCGCGATGATTTTCCTTTTTATTTGCCTAAGTTGGCGCTCGTTCGTGCTGAAAGGAGCCAGTGACGGATGCGCCAGCAGGTCTCGGCTCGCATGTAATTACTGTCCGTAGTCGCAGCGAGAGACGACGCCAAGGAAAATGGACGATGTTCTTCGAGGAAGGCGTTTTATTGATAGGTTGTCGCTGATGGAAAACGGGAACGTGAGAAAGCAGTCGAGCGAGAGAAAGGAGAGACAAAGAGCAGGGGTGAATCGAGGAGGCGACGAGAAAAGGGGATGAACGCGAAGAAGGAGAAAAAGAGAGAAAGATAGAGGAAGCGAGAGAGAGTAATGAGGAAAGCGTGCTTCGCCATACCGATGCGAGATCATGTAATGTGAACGACAAGTATGTGTAGGGACGCATGTAAAATGCAAGGCAGCAAGCCTTGACGTGGCTCGGTAACGAGTTGCTGTAGTTGCACACAGGGTGTGCATAGGGTATGCACAACTGCAGCCGGCGGATGGTGTGCGAAAGAGGTTGGATTGGAACGGTAAATTCAAGCCCGGATCCTGAAATATGGAGGCTCGCCCCGAGGAAAGGTGGCGCGTTTTAACGGGTTAGATCTACACTCCAATGCAACATAGGCTTTCCTCGCCTCGCAAGAAATATAAGGCGCAACTTTCGCACCCTTCCGATTCTCACATTTTCCTAAGCTCGAGTTTCTTTTTCCAATTTCTTCATTTCGAAAATTTCCCAAATTTTCTGCATTTGACTCTTCTCGGGATGCAAAGCACAGGGAGTTAATTATCGCGCGTAAATTCAAGCCCGGATCCTGAAATATGGAGGCTCGCCCCGAGGAAAGGTGGCGCGTTTTAACGGGTTAGATCTACACTCCAATGCAACATAGGCTTTCCTCGCCTCGCAAGAAATATAAGGTGCAACTTTCGCACCCCTACGATTCTCACATTTTCCTAAACTCGAGTTTCTTTTTCTAATTTCGAAAATTTCCCAAATTTTCTGCGTTTGAATACATCTCTCTCTTGTCGGGGAGTTAATTATCGCGGGATAATTTTAATCCTTGCACGGACGAGTCTCGGTGTATTCGAAAGGTGGCTCGCTTCGAACCGGCAAAAATAGATGTAACCTTTCGCTTCCCTGCTTCGAACGAGGCTATTTTGCGTGTATCCCGATAACTCATGTATTTTTCTGATGTGTAGAGAATCGAACAAGTATCGAGGCATTAAATATTCTTGTGTTAATTGCTCTTAGCTGTTGAAACGGTATTCCAGTTCGGTATCGAAACAGTATCTTGTGGCAGCTGAATATGGAGGTTGAGGGTCATTGATAACCATTACCCCAAATTTTACATAGGAGAAAGCTTCTGATATCGTGCCATTTACTAAATTGCATCAATTATGTTTTGCCAATGTTCTAATCTAGTTCTAATTAGCAAATAGTTCCGTCAATGGGTGAATATTGAACTACATTAATCACACGCGATGCCACAACAGTGTGGCTAGAATCGTTTGTCTTTGTCCACGTTATTCTCCATGAAAGAAAATTTGCTGCAATTTGGAATATACTTCTTTCATTTTCCTTCAGAAATTATTTTCTTCTCAAATTCCAAGTTATCAAAAAATTTTATTTTACTAGAAATTCGTACAAAACCATATCGGTTCCTGAAACTCACTTAAATACCAGAAAGAAGGTACGTAATAAAACAAACGTCCCTTCGACAGGCAACTTATAAATCGTTTTCTGCCATTCCATACACACAAATGTCACCTTCCCCTTATCTTGTGCTTCGACTTTTCTCGGCGGAAACTATATAAAGCTCGGTCGCGCAACGAGGGACAAAGTTCCACGCGATGGCATATAAAAAAAAGAGAAGAAAGAGGGTTCGAACTGGCCGTTGGAAGTTTCGACGCGTCGCGTGAACGAGCAACGAAGAAAATTCTTTGTTCGAAAAGGACACGTAGCCACGAGGCTCGAGGCTGGTGCTCGCGGACACCGCTGCGATGTAGCGGGGATTTTGTGGGACAGAGAAGAAAAAGTCGCGCGTGAGATCGCAGGAAGTGTTCGTTAAATAACCTACATTTCTCCGCTTTTGATCCGCCCCTTTGTCACGGAAGAATATTTTTTTCTCTCTCTCTCTCGCGTGACGTGTCTCGAAACGCGGACAGAACGTCGCGCAACGTTGTGTTTCACCCGCGGACCGATCGGCGTTGCGTGTTCGCGATTATTGGTAAAGCAATTAGAGAAGCGTGGGTGGACACATGATGTTGTGTACTTTGCGACATGCAGTCGCGACCTTTGACTCGATCGGCAAACTCAAGATTTAGGTTACAGCTCGGCTGCTTTCGTGTAACTGGAGGATGTTAATATATTCACATTTTTCGTCTTGCGTGGGAACGGTTATTTCGTGCACAACTTTTTTCATCGAAGTATTGCAACTTTATCGATTTTCTACGTTTTTTTAATTACGAATGTGGTTAATTTAGAGAAACCTCAGTAGTTTTATTTGTACAGTTACAAATGATATGAAAGTTGTACAAATACATGTTCAACTCCAATAAAAGATACCCAATGAATATATCCAAGCAATAAAAGATGTCCTGTCTCATTGTACAAAAGTAATTACGAATTTGATTAATTTAGACAAACCTCAATTCGTAATTGGTAGCTTCACTTGTACAGTTACAAATAATATGAAAATTGTACAAATACATGATCAACTCTAATAAAAGATAGTCAATGAATATACTCAACGAATAAAATATGTCCCATCTCATAATACAAAAGTAACAACGAATTTGAAACATGATGCGAATAATAGAATTTCATAATGAGACTATGAAGAACAATCGCAATTTTATGTATTTAAAAAAAATACTTAAAACACTGAAATGATAGTGTAATAAGCATACTTTGAATTATATAAGTATAATTGAAAGAAAATGCATTAAAGTAGATGAGGATGAATCCTTTGTAAGCGGTACTTCGATGATCCAAGTTTGAACCTGTCGGTGCCAACAACCCTTACAGTTTGCAAGTTCCGTCGTGGCTCGTACACGCGACCTAGAGACCGAGACTTCCGGTCGAAAAGAAACTCTAGCCTCGTGTGCCAAGTGCTGCTGCTCTCTCGTGCATCGTGGCTAACCTACTTGGCTAGCGGCTTCATCTTAACCCAGTGGCTAGCATTCCCTGTGATTAGGCTGCTTAACGTTGTGTACGAACGTGTACGAGTTTTCTTTAATCTTCGAACCTTTCAGCGATGATTTAAAACGACGTCGGGAGAGATTGCCGCGCGATCAAATTATTCGACGACGAATTAGAGGGGAGAATATAATTTGGTGTTGGGAAGATTGCAGGGTGGGCGGTGCACCCGATTGGAAACGTGTTGGGAATTATTCCGTAGATTGGCCATATTTTTGTCTAATTTCCCTCGGCTTTGTAGCGAATTTTCAGTATATAAGGGAAAGACGTAGAAGTGTCCTAAGCTAGTGGCGAGTGGAATAAATCGATGACATCAATCACATTCCATTCCAGTTCAATTACCTTGGCGATAAATTGACTCTGCTCTCGGTATCAAAGCTTCGCACAGTTCGAAGAACTGCGACCATTCACCGTCTCATCTTTCTCCGGCTAATTAATGTACCGTGTTCTTTCACCTTCGCTTTTCGAGCCTTTTGTTTCGTCATTTCTCCTTTAGTTAAATTTCTAGGTCTCTCATAACGATCTTGTAATTGTTATGGGAACTTCGGTCGATCAATAAACTATTTTCAGTGGGATCTTCATACGGAAAAGGTCCCAGATTACAAAGCTTCCGCGTCTATCATCGCGATAACAAGATGGAAGGAACGTTTTCCAAAATCGCTGGTGCTTGACTGTTGAACCGATGGTCGTTTTCAACCAGCGAAATCCCGCAAACCGTGCTGGAAGTCGAGTGGCGAGCAACGGTTAGACGAATTAGTTACGCGGCTGGAATTAAGTAGCTGCGCCTAAACGAAATCATACCGAGGACGGGTCAAAGTGGAACGCGGGAGAACGCGTTGCCTCTGGTGCAATTTGCGGAAAAATCCCGGCTCGGGCAAGGACGACAGGCTGAATTTTAATCGCTCGCCGCAGAAATCGAAATACCCAGCGAGGCTCTAGCCTCCTTTTGGTCGGTCTTGTTTTCCCCTCGGGGGTCGAATTACCGAACGAAGCTTTCGAAATTGAAGATGTACGATTGTCGTGGATGGAACATGACCATTTCGGTTCACTCAATTTGCCTTACTTCTCCCTCTGTTGTTCTTTAACCATCCAATGGCATACGAGAGTACTTTGACTATCGGCCATCTAAATTTTCAAGCTGAAAATCTTTGATATCTGTGTACGATAAAATGTTGCTTTTCTACACGAGAGTGGAGGAAGCAGTAAACAATCTATGGTACTATGAAATAAATAAAATATCACAACGTAACGTCATCAAAGTGTTAATACTTTTTTCTTGAGAATAGAGGGAGTTAGACATCAATGACCTCCTAGTCAAATTTTATTCGTAACACCATCCGAATATTTTCAGCAACGTATACATATTTATCGTTTCCACCTGAGGCTTCCTTTCTTACGGGACTCGTTCACGGTATTCCATTCGTTTGATGCCTCGACCTCGAATTTACATACGGCATTGACTACTTCTAGCGCGATCGTTTCTGCCGTTGAGCTTTATCTAGGCTCGCGATGCTGCGCATTAGTCCCGGGAAATGCACGGAAATTGAATCTCTTTTTGTAGGTCGATCGTACGACGGTATTTTTATCTCGGTCGAAAGGGAGCGTCACGTATTCCAAATGCGTGTTCTGGTCGTTACCTAGCGAATTGATCGTGGTGAAGATATATTCTCCTTGTTTGCGAAAGTACTGGCAGTTTCCGAACTTTAACAGGAGTTGCAAGGAGATTTTAGCTTCTCTTGATCTATGTTATCTACAATATATTGTAGATACAATCTCATGCTTTACACAATATGATTACTATACTGAGCATTATGGTCATTTACACTGGAAGTTCAATTTCGGGTCGAAGACAAAGTACAATAAGAGATTTATAATTTCCACTGTGTTTTCATATAAGCTATTTAAGACCTGTAGATCGAGTGCTAAGATTCGTAATTTTCTGATTAGGCCCCATAGCCCCTAGCGCAGGAAAATATCGCGTTCGTGTTGATCAACGATACAATGCTTGCCAGCGCTTTTGTCCAAAATGATTTTCTGTAATATGTTTGTTGTTGTCCACAGACGAAAACAGGACGAGGTGAAGATCCTCGAGGAAAGGATACGGGCCTGTTCGGAGAAACACAAGAAAGCGGGAGTGGAGTTGCACGCCACGTGTCACATATGCCTGAAAACCAAGTTCGCCGACGGCGTCGGCCACATCTGCAACTACTGCAGCATCCGGTGCTGCGCACGCTGCGGCGGAAAGGTCACTCTACGGTCGAACAAGGTAGGGGCGAGATCGGAAAAGAAGCGGCAAGATATATTGTCCGAAGGAGAGAATCGAGTCTTCCTAGACTGCAATCACTAATCCTCTTTGTTTTTCGCTGCGAGTTCGCGTTTTAACGTTCCATGGATTTAATTGACTGATCGCAGCTTCGCTCATGAACCGACTCTCAGCGAGATGTATGAGGTTGGGAATTAAATGTTTGATAACTGACGTGGGGGTTGAAAAATCGTCACAAATATGGTACATCAAATGGACAGAGTAATGTCTAAGCTTCTTGTACGTTAATCTTCGTGTTCATCAAAATTTCGTTGAGTATTTTAGGTATGCTTAACATGACCACGAAACGATAGTAAAGTGTCCTAAAAATCTAGGAACACGGTAAATTCTTTGACGTCAAAATGGAAATGGGTACTCGGGTTCGCCGTTACTATCACTCGGATTAATCTCGAACGTTTCTAAGACATTTCTCCTCCCTCGTTTACAGTTGAAAAGTCTGAAACGAGTTGGTAAGGAATAGAGTGCCTTTAAGAGAGAACGGTCCGCGTACGGGCGCTCGATAATCCTCTATTTTCCTTTTAATTACGGAAACCACTTAAATTTAGTGAACATCCACACTTTGAGGGATCACGAGTTTTATTTGTCGTCACGCCGGTCAGGCTCCGAACCGAAAAAGATTCATTACCTAAATGAAGGGATCAAAGGAAATCCTCTGTGACGGTGCATTGCGGTACGCGAGCAACGGGAAACGCCTGGCTCTGGTGACATTTCAAGGCTCGTTCTTTTCCAATAGCGGTAGGGGCTTGGAAAATCCAAATAAATTCTCCGCTGTGTGGGGACGTTTGAATTCTCATCGACGGCCGCTCGTAATCGTCGCTGATGAGCCGGTTAGCTTTATCAAAAAATCGATTCTGCCATACGCTGCGTTTAAGTTTCCACTCGAATCGAACGCGAAGAAAGCTGTGGCTGATCGGGACTCCATTCGTCGAATTTTCAGGAAACCGCTGCATTTTTACCACTTTATTCGACTACACGTATACACCAGAATATCTTTTGACTTGTTCAAGTGTTAAGTTTGTAAATGTTTTAATTTCTATGACATTCGAGTGGTTTCCCATGAGAAGTCACTAAACTAAGTATTCGATAGTATAGAGTTAATTTTGTAGCCATTGTACAGATTCTAAATAAATGATGGTTGAACATGTACTTATTAGATAGACGATTTAAAAAATTCTGCTCGTACAGCAACTTTGAAGAAGTTTGTAGATGTTTTAATTTCTATGCCATTCAAGTGGTTTCCCATGAGAAGTCACTAAACTAGATATTCGATAGTAGTAGCCATTGTACAGATTCTAAATAAACGATGGTCGAACATGCACTTACCAGAAAGACGATTTAAAAAATTCTGCTCGTACAGCAACTTTGAAGAAGTTTGTAGATGTTTTAATTTCTATGCCATTCAAGTGGTTTCCCATGAGAAGTAAACTAGATATTCGATATTATAGAGTTAATTTTGTAGCCATTGTACAGATCCTAAATAAACGATGGTCGAACATGCACTTATCAGAAAGACGATTTAAAAAATTCTGCTCGAACAGCAACTTTGAAGAAACATCCTAATCAATTTACTTTATTCAATCAACAGTCTGCTATACTTAACCGGCGAACGTGGCAATTTTCCAGCTAAAAATAGAACTGCGAGAAAAAGTGTCGATTTCATCCATCGTTTATCCGTATCATCCGAAAGACACAATCCTATTAAACGAGCCAACCCGTTCGCCATTCTATTTAGAGGTGTGCGATTGCGTAACCCAGCGTCCAGGTATAGTTAGCCAACCACCTATAGGTGCGAGGAGTCGGACAATCGTACAGTCTCGTTTCCGTTTCTTCCAGATTCGCGGCCAAGATTTCATTGATCAAAGTTATCAGTCTAACCGAGCCGGTGACTTCGAGTTTCGAGTCAGTTCTCACTACGAGAGCATCGATTTGCGTGGCTCGTGCGAGGACCTTCGCGTGTACCGACGATCTCGTTTATCGATCCTCTGACGTTTTTTGCGATTTTCGTTACTCGATGGGATTTAGCTCAATATGATATTATTATGATGTTATGCATATGTTACATTGTTAGGTAGACACATTCGAGGATTTCTGGATTTCTAGATAGTTGGACTTTGAGTACTGGATCTTCATAGAACTATGCTTGTAAGTTTCATCACATCTGTGGATCTCTAGGTGTCTCTAGACTTTTAGACTGTTAGATTCTTAGATTCTTAGATTCTTAGATTTCGACGTTAATAGATATATAGATCTCTAGATTCCTGGACTTCTGGATATTTAGATCTCTAGATTCCTGGACTTCTAGATACCTAGATCTCTAGATTCCTGGACTTCTAGATACCTAGATCTCTAGATTCCTGGACTTCTAGATATTTAGATCTCTAGATTCCTGGACTTCTAGATTCCTGGATTTCTAGATACCAGCATCTCTAGATTTCTGGACTTCTAGATTCCTGGACTTCTAGATACCTAGATCTCTAGATTCCTGGACTTCTAGATACCTAGATCTCTAGATTCCTGGACTTCTAGATTGCTAGATTGGTAGATTCCTAAATTGCCAAATTGCTAAATTCCTAAATTGCTAGATTTCTACATCTCCACATTTCTACACCTTCAAATCTCCGCATCCCTAGATCCTCAGAGCCTCATACTCCTAAATCCTCATATTTCCAAATTCCTTGATCCCCGATCCCCACAACTCCAGCTCAGTCCCCACATTTCGGGTACAGAAATAAAGTAGTATTCTACGAATTCCATTTATTCAAATTAATCCCGATCACACCGTGGCGTAACAGCACGTTATCGAAGATTCCAGCGATTTCACGCAGTTCCAGGTTCCGGGGTTTCGCAGAAAATTGGATCCACGAGGCAGTGATTTATCGCGACTCAAGGCAGTCCATTTATTCCCCGCAGCGAGGAGATTTCGGTATAGCGACAGGTCGGTTAAAAGTGCAAGCGATCAACGTTGGAAATGTCAACTTCCTGGAAACGATTAAGAACAGTCCGCGTATCGTGAAGGAAGATAACCGGCGCGTATCGGTAGCGCGCGCCTGAAATACGTGGGAATAATTGACCTATAGCTGTAACTAGACTCCCTCTCTTCCAACCCTCGCGTCCACGTATGTGTGCGTAGAGTACGTGGGCGTAATGCTATCGTTAAATAGCCAGCCAACGAATACTCCATTTATACGTCGGTGTTTTCCTCGCCGGTCGTGCAATTTCGATGGGATTTTCATCAATGGGAATGAAATAGGACCTACTGGTTCAGTTGCAGTTTTTCTCCTGTTCATTTTGCGTCCGCTTTCGAACTCGCGTTTGAACTCTTCGTAATGCTTCGTTGATTCAACGTTGATCGCTAGTCTGCGGATTATTAGATGGAAGAAGAATAATTATTGTCTGCAAACGTACGAATTAGGAAAATGAAAGTTTGAATATAAATGCTTATAGACGTAAAGGGGCTAGAGCGATTTCGATCGTTTTTATGATAATTCTTGATAGACGTTCTTTTCCCGGAAGGATTCGCCGAGTTCAAGAATTGCTTGTTCTCGTATATGGCGGCTAGCGTGGAACGGGCAATTTAACTTCGTTTTTGAAAGCGTCGCATCCGGTAACGGAGAAATAAGAGCGTCGGGATGGTACACGTACAGAGAATGCATCCGCGTATTTCAGCCAGCAAGCGGTGGGTATAATAATAGAGGCAGAGGCCCGGAACTTCGGCTTACAACTTCCTGTAAGTTTATTGGTTTTCCTCGTACTTTCGTCTGGCTTAAGAAATGGAGGTTGGTCGTGCAGTCGGTTAAAGCGAGCCGGAAGTTGTTTCCTACAACCACGTAACTCTATAAAGACTGAATAGCGCAACGACCAATACATCCGTTTATTTATTTATTTACTGGCCTTAAGATTGTTGTACAGCGGAGTAAACGAGGTTTCGAAATAATGGACCGAGTACTTTATATCGGCGATGGACAATTCGATAAACTGTCACATTACCTCGGGCACATCCATGAACTTGTTACGTATAAAATACCATCGCATCGTAAAGAACGATAAGTTTGTAATACTTTAAAACTAACTTAGAAATGTTGATTCGGAAACTTCTACAGCCTCGTAATATTTCTGGGAAGTATTTAATCTTCAATTCCAGACTACCTATTTAAAGGAAAAACTGTTAGAAACGGGACGGTTTCCATTTACGAACTACCCCTGCTTTTTCTGCCGGCGATATTAACCCCCTAATATATCCTCCCCAACAAGTGAAACTTCAGCAACTCCAACAAACCAGCACTACAACACGCTTCCCGGTCGACCAGAGCGAACGTTCGAGCGTCTCATTTAATATGCCCGAAAATACACCGTTGACGGGGCGAAACACGCGCATAGCTCGTCGCACGAGCCCCAGGGCCACACGCAAAAGCACGATGATAAACGTCACCGGGCGCGTTACGACATCATCGATCCGCCGGAGCAGAACGCCCGTCAGCTCGCCCGCTCGCTCGTACGGTACATAAATGCTCGTTCAATTACTCTAGCTGCCGTGTCCGCGCCACGGGTGTTCTTCGATTCGTTAGATACCGTTAGGAACTTGCGAAATGGGCATTTGGAAATTCGAGAAATTTCAGAATTTAATGCTGCGAGGATTTATGGTTACTGTATATAGTTTCGTGTGTGTCGATATGGGCTATTCGTTGAATTACGCGGTGTAATTCTAAGCGTTCCATCACTGCGTTGTATTGTTACGAGTTGAATTTCCATGCGTTGTATCGCCACGCATTGTATTGCCAAGCGGTGGATCACTATGCACTGAATTTGTGCGTGATCTATCGCCATGCGCTGTATAGCCACGCGTTGTACTACCACGAGTGGAAACTCTTTGTATAACCACGCGTTGTACTGCCACGAGTGGAATTTCCACGCGTTGTACTACCACGAGTGGAATTTCCACGCGT